ATGCTTGATTTGGCCATCACTTTTGTGCTTGAGGATATGTATCTGACCATTATCTAACCTCATCCCTGCAGATATGAATGAGCACAGCAGTCGAAGTCATAGTGTCTTCCTCATAAATGTGAAGCAGTTGAATTTGGAGAATCAAAAGATGCTGTCTGGCAAGCTTTACCTCGTTGATTTAGCTGGTAGTGAAGAGGTGAGCATTTTCAACTATCAAATCTGTAAGCATTTTTTAAAAATAAACCTTGGTCATTGGAATGTAGAAAAGAAAAATTAAAGGAAGTATTGACCCTATCTTTCCAGATACCTCTGCATCTGGAATTCATGGTTCCATGAGATACAGTCAGCCTCTAATTTGTTTGTTTACACAGGTGAGCAAGACAGGAGTTGAGGGAACAGTTCTAGATGAAGCAAAGAATATAAACAAGACCCTGTCTGCACTGGGAAATGTCATATCTGCCCTTGCTGATGGCAATGTGAGCATGAACCCCTTAACCCTTTGAGCCCTGAGTTCCTGAGCTATTTTGAGCCTTCTGCCTGAGCTCCTGGGCCAAAATTTGCTAATAATGGGTATACAATGTTTGTGCAAATATCATAGTTGTAATAAAAGAGATCAGATTGATGCTTTGCATGAAAATAGCAGGATGACGTACCTTCATTTTAACGCCAGAATTCTTTCTTTGTGTGCCAATCAGGCAATACGTCATCTCTCTCTACCACCGGTAAAGCGGTGGTGAGGGCTCAAAGGGTAAATCTCTAGTGACATGGATTCTCTACTGAAACTGAGAGATGCCTTTCCCCTCCATTGTAGAAATCACACATCCCATATCGTGACTCCAAGCTCACGAGGATCTTGAAAGAATCTCTAGGAGGAAATGCTAGAACAACGATCATCATTTGCTGCTCACCTGCTTCGTACAGTGATTCTGAGACTAAATCCACTCTGGAGTTCGGAAAGAGGTATTCATTATTTCTTTGTTTTTTTGTCTGTCTCTCAAAGACTGGATAATGTCTCACATCTGATTGGTTATCCTTAATAAATTTGGCATCAAATATGATAATGTAGTCTCCAACCACTTCAACCCTCCCTGTCAAAGTGTACTTCAGTTTCCAAGACCTCCACTGCACTCACTTCTCTCAAGACTTTCATTATTACCTGGAATATCATTTGAAACTCCAGATTGGAACCTGTGTGTGATTGGCCTTATTCTTCCCTTTATTTTCTCTTTTTGATTCTAATTTTTTTTCTGTTTTCTGTTTTGTTTCCCTGTTGTTTCTCTTATTAATTTGCAAAGTGCTACATTTCTTTGACAAAGCTTCCAAGAGCTAAAAGCTAGGGTATTTATTTAATTCCATTGTGGAATAATTGTAACTTGTCTTTTGAACTCTAGTTTCTTGACTTATTTACAAATTTTATCCATTCCTTGTGCATTGCGGGATATGTATTGCATTCTCTGTGCTTGTGTCACAGGGCGAAGACAATCAAGAATGTGGTGACAGTGAACGAGGAACTTACAGCCGAGGAATGGAAACGGCGATACGAAAGGGAGCAGGTCAATCAAATCAGGTCAAAGGGAGCAGGTAAGGAAGCCTTCCAGGAGGCTATTGCTACCACTTCTGGTGCTGCCGGAGATATTACACCTGGCACTTTCCCCAATGGTGACTCTCTTTCAATCACATTCGTTAGATTTTGACAGTTCCAGGTTGAGTTTTCCAATTTGATCTTGAGAAAGCATGAAGTTAAAACCAAAGGATGAAGCAAAAAATAGAATGCGTAAAGTAAATAAATAAACTTATGTTCTAAGGGCCACTAAACTTATTTTCTTGAGGGCCACGATTTCTACAGGACATACTATATGTCATGTTACTAATCGTGGGAGGAACTGCTAAATGAAGGTGCAAGATGGAATGGTGAGAGAGACCATATCTTCAGATACCATATCTTAACTGAGGAAAACCCACGAGTGACCTGCTGATCATGTATAGAGTAGCTCTACTTAAAGCTAGGGACTGTAATGCAGATATGCAGTTCATGCCCCTTGTTTGCTGGAAACTCAATTGACCTCGTCTATTCTCTCTGTAGTACATTTATTGGATGGTTTTATGAATTTGGAGACTTTCTCACAGAAAGCATTTGACCTTAGAGCTAAGCTAATATCATCATTGTTTGGCACTAATGGTTTGAGAGAAGTAAAAGCCAGGAAATTCCCATGCTCACTTCAAATGAGTAGATTTTCTTTGAAGAAGCTAGATTTTTTTGGAAAGTGTATTCCTCATCGGAAGTAAGATTTTCAGGTGAACTTTTTTTTTCCTACTTTACGAGAATGATGTGGGATTTCTGAAGGAAGCACTCAGAAGAAACTTCTTTAACTTGCAAGACAAACCATGGACAATCTAAAGACCAATCAAGAGATCACTACATTGTTCCCATAAGTCATTGATGAACAGGACTCTGAGGGAAAATCAAACTGCTTCTCTACTCTGCCTTGTTCGATCAACTGAAATCACATATAAGACATGGGAGACAAGGAAATGATATGATACTTGCATCTCTCTCATGCAGTAGGTTTTGCCAGCATGTCCCGATGACAGCCTGTGGCATACTTTGGTTTAGTATTTACTATTGTTTTTTCTTTTCTAAGCATGCATCCTGTTCAATATTCTTGAGGTTCATGCATTTTGTATAAAATATTTTTCCTTGATCTAAACAGCCCTGCCACATGCACCACCTGTGCCAGTAGTGGCTGTTTCTGCCCTGTCTGGAGACGAACGGCTAACATTTGAAGAGGAGAGGGAACGACTATACAAGCAACTAGATGATAAGGATGAGGAAATCAGCCATATGTCTCAAATGATTGAAAAGCTCAAAGACCATATGCTTGAGCAAGAAGAGGTGGGATCTTTTTGCAATACTGTGTTTGGCTACATGTGGAATAGTCTTTATTTTTACTCCTTGCTTATTGGATGTGTGGGATATCTTATAACAGATGTGACTTTGCCATGGTGCATTTTGAATGCATCTTTAGATATACATCATGACACCCAAGTGTATTACAAGGGCCGTTCTTATGTGCATAACGGACCTGCAACTATACAATGAAAAAATTGTATGCATAACAAAATACAGTGCAAACACCCATTTATCAACATATATTCTTTCTAATCTATTCTTTATTTTTTAGGTAGTTTTTGTCATTGATTGTGCTGTCATACAGCTTAGATTTAATTTGCATGAAATTTACTCCATTCTTATGCCTTAGGTAGATTTCATGCACAATCTCACCCTCATGTTTGAAGGGATTTCCTTATAAAACAAAATTGTATGTTCTCTAGCATGAAAGTCAGTGAAAAACTTCTGCATATATCGTGTATTTTTTTTTTAAATTAGCTTGTTATGACTTTTCTACCAGAGAGGGCAGTCTACCAAGAGAGTGAATGGTCCAAGAATCAACCAAATCATGAATGTTGTTCAATGTTCAGGTGATCACATCAAGCCGGAAGGATTATGAGAACGTCCAGGCCGAGATGTCTCGGATCCAGCAGGAGAATGAGTCAGCCAAGGAAGAGGTAAAGGAGGTGCTTCAGGCCCTGGAGGAACTTGCCCTGAATTATGACCAAAAGAGCCAGGAGGCAGAGAGCAAGATGCGTGAAAATGAAAGTCTCTCTGAGGAGTTGTGGCAGAAACAGGTTTGCCTTCCTTCACTTTGATTCTGACAGTTTTAAAGAATGTACATTTTCTGATGTCAAGGAACTTAGGATTCTTCTATATGGGTGCCAACAATTGTTGATAGAATCATTTTATTTAAACTCTGCCTTTTAAACATTTCATGTGAAATAATGCTAATTGCAAATATGATATTCAGCTTTTATCGATATTTGGGCCAGATCACAAATACAATAGCTGTGAGTCTCTGTTTTTACATTACTGCAAACAAAGAATCGGTTGAAGTTAAATCCAGAAATCAGGCTGCTAAGACAGGCAATTTTCCTTCGCTTCTCAGATGAGTTACTAGACACCATTGTGAACAATATGTGCAGCAAAAAGAATAATATATGTTAGCTTTTCTTTACTATACCCCAGAATATTATGCTTCCACCGGAAAAAAACTTAACATAAAAAATTATTGTGTACTTGCTCATGGCTCACCCTCTACATGCTCAGCTTAGTGCCTTAATGCGACCTGCTTTTTCATTCCCTTATTCATGCTACCTCCACATTCCCTTTTGATTGCTTGGGAAACCACACTTATGGCATAGGCACATCACTGTAAAAATGTGAAACAGAAGTTGTGTGCTTCCATGTGTCCCACATTCCTCACCCTTCCCTTGAGGAAAATCGTGCAATCTGGCAATGTTGTTGTTATAGGGATCACAGAAAATATCCACAGAATGAAGCCTTTCCTTCCAAAGATGCTAATTATTTTTCCTAACTGAATGTCATGCTTCAAACATGGAACAATTTAAGCTTTCCATGAGAATGTTCCTCACGTAAATAGCAGACTCACGAATTTCAAACTTCAGTCGAGCTGGAAGTTATGAAAGTTACACTCTGGAAAGAGTTTCAACCCTCTCTGGTACATTTTTATTGTAACATTACAATCAATCTTGATCAACAAAGGACCACAGATATTAAAGAGTAAAAAAGAAAACCAAGCTGAATATTGTTCAGTGATTGAGTTCGGGGAATGAGGCTTGAATTTGGGTCTCTATTTGATGAATTTCACTTCCATATGGGTTTTCAGAGTCTGCTGTATACTACCAATTTAGAGTTGCAGCAGAGCAAGGACATGGCCATGCTGCAGAGAAGACGTATTAGTGAGATGCTTACAAGTCTCCTCAAGGATCTCAGTGAAATTGCCTCTACCTTGGGGCAGAACACTGCAGATGTGAAGGTAAACTATGTCATCATTTTTAATTATAGCTGAAACTGCTTCTGTAAATGATTATCATGGTTCTGTTTTCCTACAAGCAGAAAACCAGTTTGCCTCTCTGATTTTGAAACATTGAGTTATGAGTATCGTACATGCTGTTCTCTTTTCCATGGACAGATGTTGTCAAATGAAGAGAATGGGAAAATGGAGGAAGAATTCACAGTGGCCCGCTTGGTTGTCTCCAAGATGAGATCTGAAGTGAAAAATCTTGCCCAGAAGTGTGAAGCCATGTCTTCAAACCAGACTGAGTTGAAGTCAAAGGTATCTCCCATCTTGAGGATTCCTCATTATGATTCTGGTCAACTGTGTATCAATTGCCTCAACTTCTGTTTTGCCTTCCCAGATGGAGACGTATGAGAAGGAATTGTCAACCTGTCGCCTGAACATGCAAGGCTATGAGGCACGTGTGAAAAGCCTCCAGGAGTCGATGAAAGAGGGGGAAAACCGTAAGAGAGCACTTGAAGAGACTGTGGATGCTTTACAAGAGGAGTGCGCTAAGCTCAAGGCTCAAGGTTGATGTCTTTCTACCATCTGCCTTGACCTGTGGCTTCAAAGTGCTACCAACAAGCTTCCTGACCACCTTTTTCTTTCAACAGAACAAATGACTGCAGTGGCGAGTAAGGAGCGAGCAGAAAAAGAGGAAGTGCATCGTATCAAGGAAGCCCTGGAGCAGCAGATCGACCAGCACAGAGAGCAGCATCAGCGCCAACTTGCTGCTCTTCGTGATGAGATAGCTGACAAGCAGCAGACCATCGAAGAACTGAAGGAGTAAGAGAATCATTCCTCTATTTCAGTAGTCAAGAAATTCTGCTTCTTATCCACTCATTTTTGACATTTCTATACTGAATTCCTCATGATTTTCTCTGCAGCATGAACCAGAAGTTGAACCTGTCTCAGGAGAAGCTGCTGATAGACTATGAACGTCTGAAGAAGATCGAAGAGGATAAGACCCAAAAACTCAGAGAACTTACGTCAGTCCCTCTCACCAAATATATTTTCTTTCTCCTTGACTTAATTTGCAAAAGACACGTCTTCACTTTGTGTAATCTCTAGATTGAAAGCTTGAATCTGGTTTTACTATTGTATCTTGACATTCCAAATGAGGTGTATTCCTGAAAAATTTGTGTTTGAAAAACTTTCATTATAGAATGCTGAGTGACCAGAGAGAGCTAGCCAAGCAGGACCTGAAGGGGCTTGAGGAAACTGTTGCCAAGGAGTTGCAGACCCTTCACAATCTGCGCAAAATGTTTGTTCAAGACCTTCAAAACAGGGTCGAGAAAGTGGGTGTGATTGATTTTCATCACCTAGGCAAGTTCAAGAATGGAGATTTTCTGTCTGTCCTTTCTTCTGTCTCAGAGTGCAGCAGGAGAGGAAGTGGAGGAAGGAGGATCACTGGCTCAAAAACAGAAGATCAGCTTCTTGGAGAACAACCTCGATCAGCTGACCAAGGTCCACAAGCAACTGGTTCGTGACAATGCAGATCTGCGCTGCGAATTGCCCAAGCTGGAAAAGAGGCTGAGGGCTACGATGGAGCGTGTGAAGGCTCTGGAAGGTGCGCTCAAGGAAGCCAAGGAGAGTGCTATACGGGACCGCAAGCGATATCAGTTTGAAGTGGACCGCATCAAGGAAGTATGGCGACAAAAGAATCTCGCCCGACGTGGTCATGCTGCCCAAATAGGTCCGTTTTTCTCCCTAAGATTCCTCATTTTGCTTCAACTACCTTTATCTCAAGCATTGATTTATTTCTTAAATCTGGATTCTTGTGATATCCATCTGGCTTGTGGTTGTCAAGAAAAACAGAAACAGGAAGTGGATCTGCTTCATGGTACAGAACTCATGTTGGGCTCAAAGGCAAAATTTCATTATGTATCTAAGGAGAGAGAAGCAGACCAGTAAGCACAGCTGCAAATTTTTCATTTGTCCAAGAAAGGCAGTAAGGATATACAGGATGGTGCAAAAGTAGGTGTTTTTAGCTGTTACTTCTTTATTACTTACTATTACTTTTTAGTTATTAATTTTATTATCATTTGTTTGTTACTTTTCCAGTACCTCTGTAACAGCCATTTTTGTCACTCAAAAGTCAGGTTCCCTGCCATTATNAGACGACCTGAAAACCGATTTGGCCAACTTTTTCGTAGCGCAGCCGCCAGAGTTCTATTGGAATGGCATCCATAGTTTGCATAAACGTTGGCGTGAAGTTATAGAGGCCAATGGTGATTACATTCATGATTCAGATGATTTTGCTTTTAAATAAACTGGGTTGTAATAATTGTTCATGAAATTCCGAGAACTTTCTTTCCAATCAGATATGTTGTATACATGGTTTGATGGAATCCATGATGTTGTGGGGTTGCAGCCAAGCCGATTCGGGCAGGGCACCACTCGGCAATATCTGGAGGTTTCATGGGAGGAGTCGGAATGCCTCCTGGAATCCGAGGGGGTCAGCCCATCCGTCCTCCCTCCGAACTCGAGGTCCAGGCCTTGAAGGCACAGCAACAAAAGAAACTTCTCGCCTCTGGTTCTTCTTCCTTCAAGCGAGGTAACCCTTTTATACTCTTAAGACAAGGTCTATTTAAAGTTCAGATTACCCTCTGATAAAGTTAAAGGTTAAGAAGGCTCAGAAATGCTAGAACTTCCCGTTGTCCAAGTTAAAGGTTGCATAATTTTTTACGTGGTACACTTTTATTTTAGGAATTCACTTATAAATTTTTTCCCCAAAGATAAGTTCATGTAGCATTTGTTTTACCTCATCACAATCCAGTGAGGCATGTTTTGATTTATATAAAATGAATTCATGCAGTACAAGGTTCCTGCTTTTGGAATTAGAAGATTTGAGCAGCACAATATCATATTTGATTTTTGCAAAACCTCTACCTATGTAACAAGACTATTTTTCCTCCCTTCACTATTTCTCCAGCTTATTGAGGGCATTGAAGTCAGTACCATTGAAGAACTTCTATATGTTCTTTCCAAGTTACACTTAGCTACAGTAACATTTTTATGGTCAAGCCTGAGTACCTCCTTGCCAAGTTTTCAAGTTTTGCATAACTTGGGATTTAGAAAATATTCAAAGAGGATATGAGGCGTCTTTAAGTTATTTTTCTGAGTCCAGCCATTAACCCTTCATTTAGGTCTCCTGCAGCACCCACATTTTGTAAGTTGAAAGTCAGAGCTTTGCTGCCTCATCATTCTGCCTAGGAATGCACAGCAGACTTGTGTGGTCCAGGCACCAATCAACAACAATGAATTGCATGTTGTTGATTTCTGTTGGAAGAAATGATGACCAAACAAAATATGGTCTCATTACTTTTGTTCTGCAGTATTAAGGTAAGGTGTTTAACATAAACGAATGAAAGTTTCTCTCAGCTTCTACATTGTGTCAGAATTCCACTATTCCCTTATCTTTTTTCAATTCACATGAAGTTCCATCAATATTCTCTTCAGAGCTTCAGAAATAGCATGAAACCTTAAAGGAAGCACTAGAGTTGTTCATTTAATTCATTGCCAGGATTAGGCAAGGACAGGAGTCCCCCCCCCCCCCCCCCCCCCCCCCAC